GAGGAGAACTCTAGGGTCCTTGGTGCTGTTTTGGTGGTTTCCTTGCAGAAGTTTCATTTCTCAATAGCCTCAGCAATGATAGGAGGGGTTTGGGGGGGGGGTGGAGGAGGAGGAGGAAGATGAGGAGGAGGAGGAGGAAGAGGACTGTGAAGTCCTTAGTGCTCTCTGAGCTTGGTGGTTTTCTTGCAGACGTTTCATAACCCCACTAGATAACATCATCAGTGCTAGAAGGAGAGGGAGGCGAAGGACCATGGGAGCTTGCAGACGTTTCTTTGCAGACGTTTCATGACTCAACTAGCTAACATCATCAGTGCAAGTAATGAACGTCGGTAACAAAACGCCTGCAAGGAAACCACCCAGCTCAGAGAGCACCAGGGACCCCACAGTCTCAACACCCTCTCTGTAGGGCATTTAATACATTTATTATATTAAATGTTATTTGTTTAATACATTTATTCATTATACACTGCCCATCGCATCCCGGAGCGATTAGATTCACAACTTTCTTTGGCTGCGTAAGATAAAAATTTGTTCTTCAACACGGGGTGACGTCCCTCACTTATGCCTTACATAGGTGGGTTTATTTAGGTGTACGGGTAGTCCTCGACTTAACAACGGTTCATTTTGTGACCATCCGTTGTCCGTCGGCAACAGCACTGAAAACACGTGAGTCGTGACCGGTTTTTCACACTTGGGACCAGGGCAAGCATCCCCGTGATCCAAATTCGGGCGCTCAGCAACGGTCTCATATTTACGACGGTCACAGCGCCCCGGCAGGGTCACCTGATCCCCTATTGCGTCCTTCTGACCAGCCAATTCAAGGGGGGAAGCCGGATTCACTTAACGACCGTATGACCACTGCAGCGATTCTTTTAATAACGGTGGCAAGAAAGGTCGTAAAATGGGGCAAAACTCACTGAATGAATATGTCGCTTAGCAGGGTAAATTCTGTGCTCAGTTGTGGTTGTAAGTCGAGGACCACCTGTGTATCCAATAATAATAATAATAATAATAATAATAATAATAATAATAATAATAATAATAATAATAATAATAGTGGTTGTAGTAGTAGTGGTAACCTGACCCAAAGCTGACCAAAAACTTACTTGGAATTGGCTAAAATCAGGAATACTGAAAAAAAGAAACTGAAGGCTTTATTTTGGCTACTCAAGAACAAGCCTTAGCCACAAATTGCATGAAGGCAAAGATTCAGCATGCTAGCACCAACTGCAAATGCCGCCTCTGTAATGAGAAAGAGTTGACCATTTAATCAGTGGGTACAACAAAGAGTTGACCATTTAATCAGTGGGTACAGTTGCTAAAATCATTCCACTGGGAACTGCCAAAAGTTTGGATTTGAGTTATAGTAACAACTACTGGGACCATCAGGTTGGGAAGGTTCTGGAGAATGACAAAGTCAAGATCTTGTGGGACTTCAGAATTCAGACGGACAGGCACTCGGCCCCACAACACACCTGACGTAACAGGAGTTGAGAAGAAAAGAGTTTGTGGTTCATTGACATTGCAATACCTGGCGGTGCACGAATGGTAGGCACGCCGCAAGAAAAACAAATCACCGAGTATCGGGACTTGCAAATTGAAGTTGAGCGACTTTGGAAAAAGAAACCGTGTGTTATCCCAATTGTAAATGGAGCCCTTGGAGCCATACCTAAAGGGCTGCCTCGCTATTTGGAAATCCTGAATTTATCAGACTTGAATACCCCGATTCTACAAAAAACCCACCCTACGTGGAACAGCTTATATCCTCCGACGCTACCTGAACAGTTCCTAGGTCCTCGGTTAGGACTCGAGCTGTTGAACTATCAACCAGCTATGAATCTCACTAAAGATTTAATAATAACAATAATAATAACAATAACAACAATTTTTTTTTTACAAATAGCTCAAGGTGGTAGACATGCCTAATCCTCCTCCCTGCCTTTCTCCTCCTCTTCCCCTCCTCCTCCTTCATAAACCCCACTCCTTTCTAGCACTGATGACGTTACCTAGTTGGGTCATGAAATGTGAGCACCAAAGACCCCCCCCTCCTCCTCCACCACCTCCCCCTCCCCCCCCCCCCCCTCCCCCCCCTCCTCCTCCCCCCCCTCCACAATCCTGTGAGGTGGGGCCGGGCTGAGAAAGAAGGACTGGCCCAAAGTCAGCCAGCCGGCTTTCCTGCCTAAGGCAGGATTAGAACTCAGACCCACTTTCTAGCATGGAGGCCTGGGCTTACTCACAAGGTGGCTTAGAGATGCCTGTCGAAAAGGCCGAACGCTGCAGCAATCTTGACCCGCAAAATGTTTGTGTCGTCGTTTTTTCCAGCCGTCGAGATGAATTGTGTCTTAGCAAGGATGGCCAACCCGGGCAAGTTTAAGACCTGTGGACTTCAAGCATGGCTGGCTGGGGAATTCTGGGAGTTGAAGTCCACAGGTTTTAAACTTGCCCCTGCAACAAAGACTCCATCTGGTTCTCTCTGTCTCTCTCTTTCTCTTTCTCTTTCTTTCTCTCTCCCCTGTCTCTTTTCTCCCTTCTCTCTTTCCCTTTCTCTCTCTTTCCCTTTCTCTTCTCTTTCTTAGTCTTTTTTCTTTCTCTCTTTTTACCTTTTTCTTGCGTTCTCTCCCTCTCCCTCTTTCTTTCTCTCTCCTTTCTCTTTCTTTCTTTTTCTCCCCCTATATCTCCCTTCTCTCTTTCTCTTTCCCTCTCTTTCTCTTTTTCTTTCTCTTTCCCTTTCTCTCTCTTTCCCTTTCTCTTCTCTTTCTTAGTCTTTTTTCTTTCTCTCTTTTTACCTTTTTCTTGCGTTCTCTCCCTCTCCCTCTTTCTTTCTCTCTCTCCTTCTCTTCCTTCTTTTTCTCCCCCTTTCTCTCCCTTCTCTCTTTCTCTTTCCCTCTCTTTCTTTTTCTTTCTCTTTTCCTTTCCCTCTCTTTCCCTTTCTCTTCTCTTTCTTAGTCTTTTTTTCTCTCTTTTTACCTTTTTCTTGCGTTCTCTTCCTCTCCCTCTTTCTTTCTCCTTCTCCTTCTCTTTCTTTCTCTTTCTCTCCCTATATCTCCCTTCTCTCTTTCTCTTTCCCTCTCTTTTCTCTTTTTCTTTCTCTTTCCCTTTCTCTCGCTTTCCCTTTCTCTTCTCAGTTTTTTCCTTCTCTCTTTCTCCCTTTATCTTGCTTTCTCCCTCTTTCCCTCTCTTTTTCTTTTTCTCTCTCTCTTTCACTCCCTTTTTCTTTTTCTCTTCCTTTCTCTTTTTCTTTCTCTTTCTTTCTTTCTTTCTCTCTTTCTCCATTTCTCCTTCTCCTCTCCCTTTCTCTCTCTCTCTCTCTTTTTCTCTCTGTACCTTTCTCTCTTTCTTTCCCTCTCTTTCTTTCTGTTTCCCTGCTTCCCGCTCTCTTTCTCACTCACTCATGCAAGGACGCACTCACAACAAACCTCACAAGCAAACACAGTTCTGTAGCCCATCTGGGAGCAACATGGGATTATTTGCCTTGGCAAGGCCTCCGGCTCTTCTAAATAAATCGAGGAGGCAAGACATGTGTTGGGGGATTCCTGGCCAGAAACACGATCCCACTGCCCCCCCTCCCTGCCCCCCCCTCTACTCTCCAACCTATTCATCTAAATATTGCAGGGGTATTTTAAACTAGCAACAGCTGACATCGAGTGTGACAGAGGCTGTCATGCAGGAACGTGTCCGTGCCTCTGTTTTTGTGTGTCTGTGTGTGTGTGTGTTTCAGGGAAAATGTTGGACTTGGCTGAGGAACAGAAGTACTTAATTTTAAAAAAGGTAAACAATGGCTTGGATGACCAACAAATGGATTTTACTTCAGCTCTTAGTTTTCTTTCAAACACTGGGTTGGCCCATTATTTCTCTTTTCTTTTCCTTCCTTCCTTCCTTCCTTCCTTCCTTCCTTCCTTCCTTCCTTCCACTCTCTCTTTCTTACTTTCTATCCCTTCTTATCTCTCTCTCCTCCCTCTTCCTTCCTTATCTGTCCCTCACCCCTCTTTCCTTCCTTCCAATACTTGAGGGGCTGCCCCAGAGAGGAGGAAGGGGGTCAAGCTATTCTCCAAGGCACCTGAAGGCCAGACAAGGAATAATGGATGGAAACTGATCAAGGAGAGATTCAACCTAGAAATAAGGAGAAACTTTCTGACAGTGAGAACCATCAACAAAACGGAACAGAAGTTGCCTTCAGAAGTTGTGGGAGCTTCATCCCTGGAGGCTTTCAAGGAGAGACTAGACTCCCATCTGTCAGAAATGGTGTAGGGTCTCCCGCTTGGGTGGGGGGTTGGACTAGATGACCTACAGGGTCCCTTCCAACTCTGATTATCTGCTATCTGTTATCTAAATGAACCGTTGTCAGGCGAGGACGACCAGGCTTTTTGAGAATGCGTAAGTGTGCTTCTAATTTTGTCACTGCAGATCCCTCTCTGACTGAAAATTCTTCTGGGAAATCTTTTCTTTCTCCTTAAAATATCCGTAGTCCTCAAAAGATCTGACCATAATAGAGCCTGCCCATTACGGTTCATAATTCGTGTATGGTTGGATAAAGCAGGTTGTGACGTGTCTGACCCGGACTTTATGCAAGCTTTCTTCTGGCTGTGGTTAGTGGCCATAAAACAAATGCAGAGGTCATTAAGCGAAACATTTTGCTATGGGGTTTTATTTCCTGAACAATTCAAGTTTGGGCAAAAATATTGTAAAATCTGGCTGGTGGCTGAGCACCTCAAATGAGGTCATGGGATCGTGCCCGGGGGGGGGGGGGGGGGGGAGAGCAGCGTCGCAACTTCGGAACCAAGTCATATGTACCTTTTCGGAGGGCTTTTCGTAACTTTGAACGGTTGTTAAGCAGCCGGTCATAAGTCAAGGACCCCTTGCATTTTTGTTTTCTGATCTCCCTCCCATCCTGAAACTCCTCTCTTCCCCCTCCCCTCATGCTTTGGACTTACGACCACATTGGAGCCTCAAATGTCTGTCGCTAAGTGAATTAAGGGAATTGTCTCCTGTTTTATGTCCTTTCTGGCCACCGTCGTTAAGCGAATCGCTTCAATTTGTTAAGTTTATCACGTGAATCTGGTTTCCTCTCATCAGAAGGCCTCAAAAGGGGGGGAGGGATCATATGACACACACACCCTGGGGACAACTGCGACCGTCGTAAATACGAGCGTCCGAATTTGGATCATGGCGATGCAGCCCCTTCCCGGCCGTAAGTGTGAAAAACGGTCCGAAGTCCCTTCCCCCCCTTTCCCACCCCCAGCAGCGTCACCACTTGGAACGGTCACTAAGCGAGTTAAGTTGTAAGTCGGGGGGCCGCCTGTAATTCGAACGGCCTCTCGTTTCAGCAACAGATCTCTCGCCCTTCTCAAGAAGAAAAAGTCGAAGAAAAAATAGAGGAGGAGAAAGCGGAGAAAACTGAGAAAAAGGAGGAGGAGAAAAGAGATGAGGAGGAAAAAGACGAGAAGGAGGAATCCAAGTAAGTCCATCCGGTGTGTGTGTGTGTGTGTGTTTGGGGATGTGTGTGTGTGTCTGTGTTTCTTCACGGGTGTGTTTGTCTGTCCGTGTGCAGGGGGTGAGCGCATGGTGTGCATCTGTAGTAGCGTTTCCTTGGCGTCGTAAAAGGCCTTTCAAAGAATCCCGGTGGATTACAGGGAGCGTGGAAACGCAGGGAGTCCTCTAGTTACGACCACAATCGAGCCCCAGTTTTATGTTCCTAAGTGAAACCTTTGAGAAGGGAGTTTGTCCTGTTTTACGACTTTTCTTGCCACAGTTGGGAAGGAGGGAGGGAGGAGGAATAGGAGAAAGGAGGAAGGAAGGAAGGAAGGAAGGAAGGAAGGAAGGAAGGAAGGAAGGAAGGAAGGAAGGAAGGAGAGAGAAGAAGGACTGAAGGGTCCCTGGTTCTCTCTGAGCTGGGTGGTTTTCTTGCAGACGTTTCATTAACC